TTTTAAAATACACATAGAAAACAAAGGGCTAAGATTAATCAAGACATTACTAAAAGAGAAGAACAAAGTGACAAGATCTGCTCCACCAAATATCAAAACTTTAGACAGACTTACACATATAATGAATGAAACCTAATTTATGAGTAAAGTGTCACTGAAGAATACCGGGGAAAGAAAATATTGGAGAATATTCAATAAGGAGTTCTGGGACAACAGTATATACGGGAGAAATAAAATGCTGTCCTCACATCAATAACAGAAATTTATTCCAGATAAAATTATAGCTAATTGTGAAAGGCAAAACAATAAAATTCTATTTTATAGAAGAAAACACCTTCATGATCTTGAGATGGGAAAAAACTTATTTAAGAAGACACAAAAATAGAAAGTAGTATTTTCTATTCAAGAGAATATTGTTCACCATAATAGAAAATACTGATCGTCTGAATTTCATTAAAATTAAGAATTGCTGTTCATCAGAAGTCACCATTACTTAAGTCAAAGGACAATTCACCAAGTGAAATAAGCTACTTTCAATATATATAAACAATAAAAAGTTCATGTAATGGAATTGATTTTTGTTATTGGAGTGAGGTCAGAGTTTCAAAAACAACTTATATCTAGAATTTATAAAGACGTTCTACAAAAAAACTGAAAGACAAGCAACCCAAACAGCAAAATGGGCAAAAGACTTAACAGATGTCACAAAGAGGGATTTGAATGGTAAAAAACAAACTAACAACAACAAAATACCATGAAAAGTTGCTCAGCTTTATAAGGAATTACAACAATGCAAATAAGATGGCAATAAGCAGTAGGATATCATTACCCGTTTTCCAGAATAGGAGGTAAGAAGGAAAGGAAAAGAGGGAAGAAGGAAAGGAAGAAAACACTTCATACAAAGTTATTGTGGAGACAGGATTGTGGAGAAAGTATTATGATGATGGGATTGTAAATGAGAACAATGTGGAAAACTATACAGCATTATCTATTAAAACTGAAAATACACATACCCTAAAACCCAGTAACTACACTCGAATCAACCAGAAACAACTGTCTGAACATATGTATTATGTTAGTCAAGAGAATATTGTTCTTAATAGTCAAAAACTGGAAACAACTAAAATTCCATAAACAGCAGAAATGATATATAAACTAGGGCATACCTATACAATGCAATGATATTCGCAATAAAAATGAGTAACAGTTACAATTAACACAGAGAACCTTAGAAACATAATGCTGAGAAAAAAAAGCCAGGAAAAAAACAAGGAATACAAACTGCGTGAACTTCAAAAAGCAGGTGAAGCTATAGTATTCAGATATATGCTCAGATGGTAAAATTATAGAGAAAGGAAATTATCATAAAATTCAGGAAAATGGCTAACTTTTGGGGGTGATAACTGAGAGAGATCTTGAGGGGAAACTTCTGAGGGTGCTGGCTTGGTTTTAGTTCTTAACCTGGGTGGTGGTTACATAGATGTTTGCTTTGCAAAAAACTCCACATTTTATGAATCTACATATGAATTACATCTCCCAATAAACACTTTAAAGAAATAATAAATTAATCAAAATTTTAGACCTCTCTTCTATTCTTTGGAAGAAGGCTCAATATAGGGTCTCTAATTAGGTGGTTAGAATTCCACTGACAAAATACAGTTTCCTAGAAGCTATAAGCTTTAAAAGACAAAATTCTGTTTGAGCTCTCACCTATGAACATTCTAGAGCTTGCCTTCCAATATTTTAAAATTATGTTTATTATTCTGGCAGAATGGTGAAAAAAATACAAAGATATCCCTCTTCCTGGACTTTATCTTCATTTGTTTATAAGAAACTTAAGACTAAGAAGCAGATTGATACTTACAAACAGATTAATGCTTGTACATTTAAAAAATATCATTTGTTATTCTACTTTATAATCTTTCAAAGGAACAGGTAAGGAAGAACTAACCATTCTGATCAGTTAGGATGGAAATGATGGTTTAAGATACTTGACCAGGATGGTGATGAGTCTTAATGTAAACTCCTCCTGCTGAGATGCAGACTCCTCAGTGTCTGTGTCCATCTTAGGAATCCTTTGAGCTTTATATATTCTATATAATAAATCTTAGCAGTCTAGCTAAACAGGAATGACAATGGCCAACGTACCTGCTACAGAAAACAAGGGCTAAGGAATTATGAGTTCTAACCATAACAAAACAAGTGGGTATCCATGGAATGCATATGAGAGAACTATACAAGCATAACACTGTAGAAAGAGTTCTGAAACTAGACGTGGTGAGTATGTATTGGTTGCTGGATTTTTGCTCTAGCAATTGAATACTGAACAAATTATTTAACTTCTATGAACCCCATTTTCCTTATCTTAAAAAAACAAAATAAGTCTAATCTTTTCAGCAATTTTTAATGTGTTTTTTATTGACTTATTAATTGATTTTGAGAATTAAAAGGATCACTATGAACCATGTAAGACAAATATAACATGAACTCCAGATTTGGAAAGGAATGCTCTCGGGCATATTAAATGATGCAAAAAAAAGTTTGTTGCTTTAATACTCTCCCTGCTTTCACTTAAATATAAATTGGAGAAATGATGTATATTCTGCCACAGAAATGCTACATGTTCATTTTTCTTTTCTAATCATAGGATAAGAAACCAGGAATTATTTGAGAAGTAATCAAACTTATTGGTAAATTATAGCCAGAAAAAATTACAGTATATCAAAATCAAGATTGCTGTTTCTGGGAAACATTCTTCAACATTAAAATGAACAATTCTGAGCCAGGCTCAGTGGCTCAGTCTGTAATCCCAGGGCTTTGGGAGGCTGAAGTGAGTGGATTGCCTGAGCCTGCGGGTTCGAGACCCGCCTGGGCAACTTGGCGAGACCTCAGCTCTACAATAAATCAAAAATTAGCCAGGCGTGGTAGCGCGCGCCTGTAGTTCCAGCTACTTGGAAGGCTGAGGTGGAAGGATCCCCGGAGCCTAGCAGGCTGAGGCTGCAGTGGCCGGGAGCAGCCACTGCAACTCCAGTCTGGGTGACAGAGTGAGACTCCAACTCAAAAAAAACCAAAACAATGAACAATTCCATATCTATTCAAAAGGGTTCTATATTCAGCTACTTGGGGAATACATAATACACTATATACAGCATCTCAACATTAGATATTCTGTAGGACTCATCAGTAGGTTTTATTGTGGCTGAAGTAACCAATTCATACTACTTGTCTTCAACATTTTTCCCAACCAAAATTACCTTTGCCACAGAATTCTGAGGTCTCAACTAAGCTCTTGTCCAAGCATTTGAGTAGATCCAAAGAGTACGGAACAAATCACATCCCAGTCCAAAGCTCTTCCATAGCCAAGTCCATCTAGTTACAGATTGGCAGCCTCCCTCAGCAAAAATACAAATGCTTCAGAATTTTCAAAATGGATTATCACCTTGCAACCTAGATGTCTAGGTCCTAAAAGACACAGATCCTTCCTCAATCAACAACCATACTTAGGATATTTTCCAGAAACTCAGTCCTGATTTGCCTGCTACCCAGATCTTGCCAACAACCATCTAAAGGAAGATATGTAAAACATTCATTCCCATAGGTTCTCCAAGTTCTCACTCTGAAACAAAGAACTAGAAAAAAAGAGACTGAGATAATTTTCTATTAGAAAGACTTTATAAAACTAGAACTCATTATCTTTCATTTTTATTAAGTTTTAAAATATAAAAACCTTATATAAAGACTTTCTTCAAATACTATGCAATCACCAACTATTACATTTCTCAACATATCTAACGAGAGAGGATGAAAAAGATATTAATGATAAATTTCTTTAGAAAAGTTTGTCTTCCAAAAGACTTACTAGCTTAAGTGTCACAGAAAAAGATTCTTAAAATCCATCACTTTTTACTTAGTCTCTGTTTGGCTTAGTATATAAAACTTAAACCTAAATTTATGCTAAAATGCAAACAAAAATATCTTTCCACGTCCTCAGTAGTATTATTTTCTCTACTGGCTTGGTCTAGTTTTAATTTTTACTTTCCTGCTTTTAGTTTTTAGAATTATTTAAGTCCTTTATTTAGCTATAAACAAACAAACAAATAAATAAATCTCCACTGGCAGTATCACAAAGAGATCAATAATCACAACTGGCATGAGAAGACTGAGATTCTAGTGTCAGTCCTATTACCACAAAGTCATGAGATCTTGGGCAAGGGCAACCTTCTTTACCTAAACCTTGGTTTTCCTGGAATATAAAATGAATAAAATATTATCAGCCATGCTACCAAACGGCATGGCACTTGAAAAACAAATGTTATTACAAAAGTGTTAAGCAATGGTAAGTACTGAATATGACAAAAGTTTAGAATAAAGGAGAAAGCATCTAGCCAAAGAAAGCAGAGGGTTAGTTAAGATGGTTTTCACTATCTCCTTCAGCTCTGAAATTTTAGAACTAATTTTTAGCTGGGAAGACTGAAATAGGCTTCACAGTGATATCTGAACTACATCAGAAAGGAAGGACAAGATATTTATCAAAATATACTCACATTTTATGTACAATAGATTTAAAGGTATGATTTAGGATTTCAAGTAGAAGTATGATACTGACAAAATTTGCTCTCTAGAGAAGTTCTCTTTCAGACAAGTGTTTTAAGGTTCTGTATCCGAATTCACACTTACCACAGATTCCTCTGCTCCTGATCTGACCTACATCCCCTCAGATCCACAGGCACACATACTTGCCCCAGACTAATGAATCACTTATTTACAATATTCGCAAGACTTTAATCCCACACTGAGTTTGCATTTTAAAGAAATATTTAATCTAAAAGATCACTCACAAAACCAAGGAGGTTTTTATATTACTAATGACTCTACTTACCTATAAATAAAGCTCGTAACATATATTTCACAGAAACCAGTTACATTTTTAAAAGAAAAATAATCAGATATTATTCAAGGATCAACAATAAAATAACTTTTAAACTTAAAAAAAAAATTACCTGTAGTAGCCCTCCATCATCAAAACGCAGTACTTCTATTATGCTCTCTGACTGAATGAATGCTGTGAAGAAAATAAAACATGCCATTACTTACAGGGACATACATTTGATTTTCATAAAATGTTTTAAAGTTAATTAATACCTTTTTATATTTAAAATAGACTGCTTGTTGGTGATGGCTAAAAAGAAAAATATGACTAATACTTTGGATTTTAGCAACTATAAAATGCTTTCAAATAAAACAATATAGTAACAAAGTAGTTTCAACAACCTACAGGCTATATGTCACCTTCAAAATCTCTATTCCTGCTATACTACGAGAAAGCACAAAATACTAAAATTCAACTAGATGCAGTTAATTATCTTCACTGATAGATTAATTGAAAATATCATAAGTATATAGAAAGGATCACTTAAGTATTATATTTCCCCCAAAAAAAGATCAGCAGAAATTCTGTATCATTCAGTTTTTTGTAATAACAATATGACCTGGGATCCACAGTCAAAAGGGAAGTGGGCAGGGGAAACAGCAAAAGACTATTCTGATCCAAGAAACAGAACAATGCAAAGACATTTAAAAACTAACATAGTTGTACCATACCATCTGGCAATCAGACTCCTGTATTTACTGAACTGATATGAAACCTTAAGTCCAAATAAAAATCTGCACACAGTTCTTTATAGCAGCATTTTAGTCATAATCATCAAATTCTAGACATAAAGTCAAGATGTTCATCAAAGCTGAATGAATAGAAAAATGATTGTACGTTCATACAATGGAATATTATTAAAAAGAAAATGCTATATGCTGCATGATTCCAAGTAAAAGGCAAAATTACAGAGATGATAAAAAGATCAGTGGTTACTAGGGGAGCAGGAGGAGAAGGGAAAGGTTGAATACGCACAGGAATATTTTAGGGTGGGGAAACCATTCTCTATGAAACTGTAATGGTGGACGTGACATGATGTATTTGTCAAAACAGAAGTTCACACTGCAAAGAGTGGATCTAAATGTATGCAAATTTTAAAAATTGTGTAGGAAATTGAGGGGACCTTATGATGGAATGCAGAATATGGAAAAACAATTTAACTGTATTACAAATGTATGAAACAATCTCAGTGAAGTGGGGAGGGGAGAGTGCTGACTTAAGTCACTCTAAATGAATGAAATCTGTGCTAAAGACAAAAGAAACTGTACGCACACACTGTATTATAGTTGATAATGCTTTTTCCCATGGAGGCTTGGATTAACAGTTCAGATGCCACTGTGTACACTGGAACAGAATAATTAAATACATAGATGGTGAATGCTGGGAGCCAGGTTTCTCACTGTTGGAATAGTAGTTTACACAAAAACAAGAGGGGGAACAAGGATGATCCATGTGGTAATGAATTAGAGTTGGTGAAATCAGTACAAACTCATGTTTAGCAAAATATGGATACAAATTATTACATACACAAAGGAATAGTTATAGATTTGTTCATAACTGGGTTAGTAGACATTCATATATTTCCTTGCTCTGTCAGCTCAAAGGGCCTAGAAGCAATGACATGCCAGAGGCAAAGAACATACTAAGCACACAGACCTTGGGTTCTAACACTGTTTTTCCAGGGCTTCCTTGAGAAATGGCTGACTCTAGGACAGGGTCAGGACATATACAAGATGAGACCGCAGCATTTTGTAGTGCCAGAAAATAGGAAAAGTACAAAAAGAAACAAAGGAAACCACCCAAAACCTACAATGATAGCAATACAGAAAAGAAAGTAAGAATCAATAAGAAGAGCTCCCAAATGGCCAAAGCTGAAACAATGTGAACAACAAAATAAAGCAGTATTAGATTATAACCCAAAGTGCAAAATAAATATCCATGAGCCCATTCTGCTATAAATTATTGAATAAATAAACAAATGGGAAAGAAGAGGCAGATTTCCCATGCAGAATAATTTCAACTTATGTAGAAACTAAGCTCTCTAGAAGGCGGAGTGTAACTCCTCACTGCTCAAGCATAGGATACACATAATCACTTTCTTCCAAAAAATATAGTTTGGAAAGAAAGAAAAAAAGTTACTTTACAGAGGGGAACCCTAACAAAACTGACAAATGTTACTTCAGGAGGCCAGATGATTAAGCTCAACAGTTACACTGACAGTATATACCCCTGATATAGTAAAAGCGGCACTTTTTACCTCAGTGGACTTTGTCTCAACATCTCGTAACTCCAGTCTAATCATGAGAAAAATATCAGACAAGTCCAGTTGAGGAATAATCTACAAAATATCTAATACTCCTTAAAAATGTCATGTCAAGGTCATCAAAAACAAAGAAAGTCGGGCAACCCCCTCAAGTCTCCTGCTCTGGGAGCTTTTCTGTCCTCTCAATAAATCCTGCTTTAAAAAAACATAAAAACAAAGAAAGTCTGAGAAACTGTCACAGACAAAAGGAACTTCCAGAGACAAGACTACTAAATGTAATGTAGTATCTTAGATGGGATTCTGTAACAGAAAATGGAAATTAGGTGAAAACTAAGGAAATATGAACAACGTATCAACACTGGTTCCTTAAGTGTAAAAAAAAAAGTGCCATTCTAATGTAAGATGTTAACATAATAATAAGGAAAATTGGGAGTGGAGTATATAAGAACTCTATACTATCTCCGCAATCTTTGTATAAATCTAAAATGGTTGCAAATATATTTACATTAAAAAACAATGATATTTCATTTTATTTAATATGGAACTTATTGACTCCTACTTGTTGGTCTTTCGGGATACAGGGAAAGTACTAACTGTCCCACCTCATGTATCTGACTGTTTCAGTATGACTAAAGTTGAAAACCAAGCAGCAGAGAGAGACACCAGCTAACTAGATGACATTATTTTGTTGGATGGTGTTTTCCTGCCAGCAAAGCATCCCTTTCCCCTTAGTTTAGTAATCACATTCTGATTTTATTTTGGGAAGCCTGTCCTCCACTTCCTGTGCTTCTCTTCAACTACAGCGCTAACCTGCTTCACTTCTACTCATCCTCCACCAGTTCAATAAATATTGGAACATTCAATAAACAGAGAATATTCGATAAATATTAGAAGCACAAATGAAGCTTCACCTTTTTGCTCAGGTATAATAAGTACTGGCATTTGTACTCATCAATACAAATGACCTTCTACTGACTATCTTATCTCTTGGCCCAGTTTGTAGTCGAATTTTGAAACTGAGATTAGAGCTAATGACTCCAACAGGATTATTGACAGAGTGTCTAAATGAAGTGATAAACCCTTCAGAAGAAAGGTCTACGAATGTAAAAAGGCTCTGCTCAGCTCACTTATTCCATTCCTCATCCCTTCCCCCAACTTTTAACACAAGCTGAAATTTCAGAGGATCCAGAAAATCCTCTGTTGAGAGGATCCAGAAAATCCCTAGTGAAGACAAATTTATTGACATAAGAACACAATGAGCTAACAAAAATTAACTGAGCAGCAAGATGTTCACAATGTAAAAAACAGAAAGTAAAAGCCTCTAGTTAGAAGCTTTCCAGCTAATTAGCAGAGGAAACCAACAAGAAACAACTGAAAACATGCAATATCTGGCAGCTGTTCTTAGAATTCCAAGACAATGACAATTGCATGAATTCCCATTATCAAGCCAGAACAAAACTTTATCAAACTTATGAGAATTTAACTAACTAAAGATAAAACAGCAATATAATTTGTTGCACTGCATTTTTAATTAGTAGATTTTTTTTGTTAGTTGAAAAAAAAATTAGCAGCAGCAGCTGATCATAAAGTCCTAAAAGGAAAACATTGGGTTACACATCATCGGCTTTCCTTAAAAGATGTAGAGGTAAATAGGATTCAGCTCTGGCAAAAAACAAATTTAAGATTATTTGCCTTAAATGACTAATTATAACAACTTTAAATGATATTCCTAAGAAAAATAGAGCACTAGATATGCACTTAATCATTTCATGTGTCAACAGTTATTAAACTATAAAATATAAAAAGTAACCAAAGTGAACCAAGTTCCCACATCTCTAAATTCAAAACCACAACTGGTAACAGCTTCCTCTCCCAAAAATATTTCCTCTAATTTTATACTGTTAATGAATCCCAAAACTTTCTTGATGTTCCTTGTTCAAGTATAATCCAGTATAATAGAAATAAAAACAACAATTAAGAATATTGATCAGACTCGAGGTTGGTGGACAGCGAGCAGACGAAAGAGGTGGGGAGGAGCTGGCGCACTCAGTTGCCTGCTCGCTCGCTTCCTGGCGCCGCTGTGGGACCGCTGCCACGTTTCCCGCTCGCCCGCTGCCCCGTTTCGCGAGCCCGGGTCAGCCGCGGCCGGCTGGGTCGGTAGTCGGGAGCACCCTCAGACGTTGCGGGTGTGGGGGGGCGAGGTGGCCACACCTGTGGAGCGGCGGGCGGAGGGAAAGTCACCCGGGTCCCCGCCGCACGCGCTCTCAAGTGGGGAAACGGCGGGCTGCCGTGGCCC